ATGTATACACAAACATACACATACACATGCAGACAAACTCATAAACACGCACTAAGGCACACGCATGAAACTTTATATGAACAAAAAATATGATGTTTGTATGTGTAGATGAACAAACAAACTCACACACAAACAAAAACACACACACACAAACATACACATAAACATACATACATGATGTTTGTACGACAAATAATCATTGACCACCACATGTATGCACTCAACACATGCTACATAAGGTCAATTGTGTGTATGCGTATTCATGTGTGTATGTGTTTGCGTATGTATACAAGCACACACGCACGCACGCACACACACATTTAATTACATAATCAATCAATCAATCAATCGAAAAACATCAAAGAAACAGCATTATATTCGGCCGCTGTTAATAATTCGTTTATTGTTTAAAAATATCAATTATGAGATTGCCAATTTTGAAAGAGGATTAATTTTTGTCAACTCTTTATATGCGTTTATCTACGAACATCAATCTGAGTTGGCTGCTCGTCTATGCCGATGCAGTTTCAAGTGTAACTAATAAGTGTTTCTTAATAGATATCAGAGTTTTTTTTCTCATATAAAAAAATTGCATCTCTAAGCAATTAAAAATATACAGTCGGATCTCCATACGATGAATTTGATGGTTCCAGGAAAAAATTCGTTATATAGAAATTTTGTTAAATAGAATTTGTTCGAGAAGAAATTCTATACTCTCTAAAAGATGTTAATATGCTAAATATTTATAAAAAACAACCTCTTAAATAAATATTTTGATAACAGAAAATAATAATACATGGTAAAAAATTGTAAAAAATAAAACTTTAAAAGAGAAATTTATTCTTAGTTTCACGCAGCGATGATTCCAATCCCTTTGAATGAAATTAATCGAGGTAGAACACTAGAGCAAGAAACATTAAAAATGGTTTTAAGATATTAAAGGAGAACAGAAACAACGCTCATATCAATTCGTAGAACGTTTGCTGGTCAAATGTTTTTTCTAATTTAACAAATTTTGTTCGTCGTAGAGGAATTATTTTCATTATTTTCATAGTATAGAAACAGTTTCATATGTAAAATTCCAAGGGACATTACAAAAATGCCTTATGTAAAGATTTTTGCTATATAGAAGAAGTTTGCTATAAGGAGATTCGACTATATTTAGCAAATCTTAACAACATAATTGTTCGTTTTCATGTATTATATTCATGTTGAAAGTGTCCAACCGAAGCCTATGTTTGTTTGTATGTATGCATATGTATTGTATATGTATTTTTCTTATGTTTTCTTATGCATGTTTGTATCTTTCTTAAGTTTTTGCATGAATATATGTATGTATACGAACCTAATTCTTTTAAAATGTATTTTCCCATCCTTAATAGCAATCGACTTCAGCATATTGATGGGATTAGATAATCGTTTTTTTAGCAAGAGTTTATCGGCTCTTCATCAGCTGCAGACATGTTTTTGCATTTTGTCAATTTATTTAGTTGTTGCTTACTTACCATTTAAAATAAATTTCAATGCGATTGTAATGATAAAACTGTTACTTATCTAAACTAGTCTGGCATACTACTAATACCAACAACGACACTGTTAGTAGTAGTACTTCTATTACTGCTATGCGGCTGTAGCCACTACTGCCACTACTACGGCTACCGGTACTACTACTACTGCTACTTTTAATTTTTGTATAATTAGAATTTTTAATAGCAGCAACAGTAATTAGAAAGTAAAAATACTGCGAGATTTCGTAAAAAATTTTCTGCAGGTATGAGATGAATTTTTTCTTGAAGGAAATGCAATAGACATGTTTACTTTTTTGTATCCGTGCAGTTTTAGATATGTATATGCGTGTGTGCGTGCGTATGTGTGTGTGTGCGTGCGTGTGTGTGTGTGCGTGCGTGTGTATGTTTATGAGTGCCTGCTGTGACGTTTTTTCATGTACATCTGTGTTATGTGTTTAATTCGTGCCAGCTTTAATTAGATTTAGTTTTTAAGATTTAATTCAATTTTATGGTTCGGTAGAAATTAAAAATTTTGAGATAATTTTTGGTAAAAGATTTTGGAAAATCACTAAGATAAATATATAACGTTTCATTTATTCGTTCATTTATTTATTTGAAATTTCAAATATTATAAGATGGGAATATTGATGTCTCACGTTTTTACTACTCTCTCTCTCTCTCTCTCTCTCTCCTCTCTCTCTCTTTCTTTCTCTTTCTCTGTTTCTCTCTCTTACCAATTTTAGTTGTCCAATAATAACACTAATAAACAGTTCCTAATCTCGATTTATCTGCCTTCCTCTCCCTCTCCTTAATCTCTCTTTAAAACTTTTTAAAAGCTTCACATATAGGGCTTGAAATATTTTCATGAACTTTGTTTTTTGAAAATCAGCTTCAGATTCAATTTGATTTGCGCTATGTAAATTAATTAGACTAATTGATTAATTAATTAAATAACTGACAGATTGGCCGACTAATTGAAATGTTCGTGAGTTAGTGAAATAATTTTTATAGTTAGAATAATAATTTTCGAGATGTACTATACATTTTGAGATTGATTCAATTTGAGAGAGAGAGAAAGAGAGGAAGAGAGAGAAAAAGAAAGAGAGAAAGAGTGATAGAGAGGCGGAAAAATAAAAAATGGAAATGAAAAAAGTTAAAAATCGTGAAAAGTTTTTTCACGGAGCTACCAGCCGTTAACTGAAGTTACGTAATCTAATAGAATGAAATTTCTTACGAGAGGTGATTTTCTATCTCTCTCATGCAAATGTTAATAATAGTATTGGATGTTCAATGGAGTGGCATGTTAGATAGATGTATTTGAATTGATTACACTTGCAAATCTTGCAAAAAAAAAACTATGCATTGGGTTAAATTAGATTAAATACAAACTCAAGATGGTTGAAAAATTAATAAATTATTTTTTACAATTCAAATATTTTTTTTATTAAAGTTCACAAAAATACAGAAAAAACGAATTATCATTAATTTCTATTTCATCCACATCATTATCTTCTTCATCTTCCTCATCTTCGTCACCGCCATCAAAATGACGTCATCATCTTCACCATTACGTCATCGTCATTAACCTGCATCACTCTATTCTTGCGTTAGGTTTGTGTGCACACCTGTACTCTCTACTACACCACCCTACATACATACGTACAATCAAAACCAGTTTGCACAAAGGTGATTAATATCTTGCGCGCCTACCTCAGTGTGTGTGCATATGTACATGCGTGTGTGCGTGTATGCGTGCGTGCGTGTGTGTGTGCCTGTGTATGTGTGTGTGTATTCGTACTGAATCATGAATGAATGTGGTATTTGCGTAATAATAATACACGAATAGTGTTCTTTATGAAATTATGCGCGTAAGAGTGCGTACAAAAACGCAGGCGAAATAACGCATACGCACCTGTCCTAAAAACGCTCTAGTTTTAATACAAATACCTTACATTAGCTTTTCTGTTTAATTTAATGCGTATATTCAAGTATACATACATATATATATATATACAGATTTGTATGAATTCTACCGAATTGTTGGCATAAATCAATTTAAAGTTGGTTAATGCCAACAATTCGGTAGAGAATTCATCCAATACTGTATAAAATATGGTCTCCTTCCAAAACATACATACATGTAAATGTATATATATACATAAATGTTAAACTTGACGACTAGACTATGTAAAAATAGATACTATTTAAAGTAGTATATATGACATATGCCATTGACATAACAAGCGTATTTACTCTACATAGGATGGTGCTCTATAATGTTTTAGGGTATTTTACGGTATAAAAAACAACTATATGTGTGTTTAATGTCGTAATAACTTACACATACATACACACACGTACACATATAAACACGCACACACACACACACACACACACACACACACACACACACGAACAAACACACAAAACTATAGAATTGCTAATAAATGGAATTTTTTTGTTTTTGAAATTAAACCGGGATGGAATATCATTTATATCACACACGTACACATATAAACACGCGCGCACACACACACACGAACAAACACACAACACTATAGGATTGCTAATAAATGGAACATTTTTTGTTTTTGAAATTAAACCGGGATGGAATATCATTTAAATCAATGTACTCGCCAGTCATCAATTGATTTCGTAACAGATGCAAGTCCATAATTGCATATTCTTTAGCTTATTTTTGGTTTGTATTCGTTTCACTTATAGATGTGTGTGTATGTGTATGTTTGCAAATATGTTTGTATGTGTTTTGTTTAAGTTTGCTGTATGTATGTGTATACATTTGTTTGTATGCATGTGTGTGTGTGTGTGTCTGTAAAGGTTAAATGTATATGTGTGTATGTGTGTAACGGTATAATCGAGTGTGTATATATGTATACAGGTATGTATTATGAATGTGTGTCTATGTATATATGTGGGTGTATGTGTGTATGTTTGTATATATATGGATGTGTGCGTTATATTTAAATAAATATTTATATATTATTATATTATATTTTATTATATATTATATTTATATATTATTATATTATATATTATTATATTTTATATTTAATAAATTTATATATTTAAATATATGTGTGTGTTTGTGTGTGTACACCGCTGTTTGGTGTTAAATATTTTGATTGAATGTTTAACAAAATGAAAATAATTTGTATTAGTAATAATAATGATAATAATAATAATAATAATAATAATTTGTTTAATTATATCACCCGCATAGTTATTACGAAGCTGAAAATAATTTCAATGACATCATTCATCATTTATCATCATCATCATCATCATTGTCATTATCATTATCATCATCGTCACCACCATCGTCATTATCATCATCATCATCATCATCACCATCATCATCGTCGTCGTCGTCATCATCATCATTATCATTATCATCCTCATCATCATCATCGTCGTCGTCATCATCATCATCATCATCATTATCTCCGTGACGCGTGTTGAAGGCAAGTTGGAATGGATGTTCAGCAGAGATTTAGGGCTAATTTCTGCCAGCATAATGCCGCGAACAGGTCAACCAATGACCAGCAATTAACTTGCTTCATGCTCTCCTGATGACGATGACGACGATGATGATGATTACGATGATTATGATGATGATAATGACGATGATGATAACTATGATGATAACGATGATGATGATGATAACGATGATGATGATGATGACGGTCAAAGCAAAGCGTTTCACTGTTGGAATAAGTTGGAAAGTTTCGACATAATCGTTGTTTATGGCCATTTTTGTTGCGACTTTTTGTTGATGTGTTTGTTGAGATGTTGATGTTGTGGTGGTTTTGTTGTTGATGTCTGTTGATGTTATCTTGTTGGCGTCATTCATCATTTGTCGTTGTGTTTGACGCAGATTTATAATTAAGACAGTCTAGTCCTGATGTTTGTATATACATATAAACATATACTACAGTAAATTAACATATACAAACACAACAAACACACAAACACAACAAACACACTTACATATACACTAACATACAAAATCATACAGACAAACATACAAAAACATGCAGACAAACATACAAAAACATACAGACAGATACAAACGCGCATACAGATATTAAACTTCTTTTTATTTTCTTTAACGATGTTGACGATGTCATTTATAAATTGGCGACAAGAGTTTAATTGTGAAAAACAACGTCAACAACAACAACAACAGCAACAACAACCACAACCACAACAATAACAACAGCAACGTCAACAACCACAACAACAACAGTAACGTCAACAACAACAACAGCAACGTCAACAACAACATCAACAACGTCAACAACTACAGCAGCAGCAACAACAACCACAACAACCACAACAACAACCACAACATCCCCAGCAGCAAAAACATTAACATAGTGATAGTAATAATACTAAACATTGAGACAGTAAGGCAAATAGAGAATAAATGAATCTAATGGTTTGTTCATGTCAGATCAAATGTGCGTGTGTGCAAATATTCAGACGTAGGTGTGCCTATGTTTGTTCGTCTGTTTGTATGCAATTTGTAATGTTTGTTCGTCTGTTTGTATGCAGTTTATAATGTATGTTTGTTTGTTTGTAAGCAATTTAAAATGTTTGTTTGTTTGTATGCAATTTAAAATGTTTGTTTGTTTGTATGCAGTTTATAATGTTTGTTTGTTTGTCTGTTTGTATGCAATTTATAATGTTTGTTCGTCAGTTTGTATGCAGTTTATAATGTTTGTTTGTTTGTATGCAATTTATAAGGTTCGTTTATTTGTTTGCATTTGTATAATGTTTGTAGGTTTGTTTGTAAAGTTTGTTTAAGCTTCTGTAAAATATTCGTTTAAATACTTGTTACGTATATACACACGAAAATGAATAAACTAGTACAAAAACTAACCAACAAACAAATTGTTTGATTGTCTGTCCGTATGTATATATGCATGTATGTATATATCAATTTTGTATAATTTAATTATCTAAAAATAACCTAAATAATGCGTTTATACACAGGCTTTTCAAAAACCTTTTCTAGATCAAAACGCCATCAACTTCTTCGATGGGCAGTCGAGAGTATAACATCACTTGGGCTGATTGCTGCTCTGCTACTGCTGTTTTTGCTGTTGTTGTTGAACGACTAGTATTCTATTTTGACATGCTCCAGCTATGAACAATCCCTGCTAACGCTTTTTAAACATAGAACGACGACTGCCAGGATGTCAGGAGTCGCATATTTTGTAAATTTATATTAGAAGAATTAGGTTACTCCACATTCAAAACCTATATTCATTGGTTGTAATAAACAAATTGTCTAATATGAGATCATTACAACCAAGTCAGTTGTCAAACTTCTATAAATTATCAATTCAAGTTCATTAAAAACTTCTTTTAATATTAATGATACGTACTTAGATACATATTGGAGTTTGATACACTTAACAATGATACAGATATATCAATACTAGCTACTTATATATGTGTACATACTAAAGTTAACAACACGTTCACCATACGATCTTTGAAGTTTATCATCTGAACAGTATTCCTCACGTATATGGACATTTTTTTTCTCATGTTTTTCCATCTAGAGGAACAACCTTCTTTGATTAGGAGTGAAACTTGAATTTTTTAGTCACAATGACGTTTGCTAGTTTGCTGGCTCTCTCATTCTCTCTCTCTCTCTCTCTCTCTCTCTCTCTCTCTTTCTCTTTCTTCGCACTTCTACAGTAGCATTCTCATCATAAAATTTTTTTATTACTCTTCCAAATTTTTTTACGACATTTTTTTCTCATTTTGTTCAGTTTTCAGTGTTTTTTTGTTTTTCAGCTTCCATTAGTATTATTATTTTAAATGCCTATAAAAAGTTTTACGAGCTGCGCTGACCTACTGATTTTTTCAATTTTGGTGGCTTGAAGTTTCGTTGCTGTTTTGAAGTTTTTTTGTTTGAGATTTTTCGAGATTGAAATTTTTGAAGTAAAAATCTTTTTTCTTTCGTATTAAAGTTTAATAAAAAAATAAATCGTGTTCATTTCAGTTTTCAACTATTTTTTAAAATTTTACATTCTAACAATATTTTAAATTTTTAGTCCGAAATAACAAACTACAAGCATAAACATATTTTCCTAAAAATTTAAAATTTTTTTATTTTTTTATAGCCTAACACTTTCAGTAGCTGGAGAATGAGTTTTGATCTATAGTGTCGTGCATAATTGATGCCTTTGAAATGTTCCAAGATTGCCCATAAACAGAGTCCAGTCACTATTTCTTTCTCACCTCTCCATAATCCACTTCCTATCTTCTTCTTCTTCCTCTCTCTTTCTCTCTCTCTCGCTTTCCCTCTCTCTTTTCAAACACACACACACATACCCACACAAACACAAACAAACAACTACCTATCTCGTCTCCATCAACCATCAACAACTGTCACCGTCATATTTCATTTGCCGATCCCACATGCGAAAAGTACATTTAAGCGGATATTGATGCATAGGTAATAAGTGATGTTCTCTCTCTCTCTCTCACGCTCTCTCCTTCTTATTCTCTCTCTTTCTTTTTTTCTTTTTTATTTTTCCTCCATAATTTATTACTTTCCCTCTTTCTACATATAAATATTCAAACATATGTGTGTGTGTGTGTTTTAATTTAATTAATATTAATATGTAGTTGAATGGGCCTAATGCGTTTGTGTATATATAGATGGATGAATGAATAAATGGATGAAAAGATGGATAGTTGGATAAATAGATGAATGGATGGATAGAGAGATGAATGAATGAATGGATGAGGATGTATATGATGCTGAGTTGATGCGTTTTCGCATCATTTTAGCACGAGATACTTTGTCTTTTGCCATGCGTCACGAGAGAGATGATGGTGAGGAGGAGTATGACGATGAAAGTAATGATGATGATGACGGTGATGATGAAGAGTATGATGATGAAAGTAAGGGTGATGTTGATGATGGAAGTAATAGTGATGATGATAATGTTGGAGGTAATGATGGTGATGATCATTAGCAATTTCACAAACCAAATTAAAAATCCACTCTTACTAACATCACTAACAATGCCAACAAGAACCAAAACAACAATGCCAACAGCAAGATCAAAACATCAACCAAACAAACAAAAACAGAAAAAAACATTAAGATTGACGTCATCAACAACTCCACCAATCAATATACGACTTGGAGATAACGACCGACTGCTCTAAAAATAGAATAAAAAAACACAAAAAGCGATAAAAATAACAAAACTATCAAATACAAAAAAATACAAACAAAACAAAATAATTCAAAAAACAAAAAGTAAATAATAAAAACACAAGAAAACTTTAAATCTAATTAGTTTGAAGTTTTGATGTTCAGGAAGACACAGCCGCGGCCATCGGCACCGATAATTTTACCACTTGAAGCCACTTCTTCGGCCACTCCCAGAATAACGATAATTACTCTCAAACACCACAAGCGGAAAATTTTTTCTTCATAAACGGGTATGGAAAAATGAGACCAAAATTTGTAGATGCAACTCTACTTTTTGTTATTGTTTGTTTGCAGTAATGATTTTGGTTGATAGAAAGAGGAATGAAATGATAAATAGATAGGTTGATAGATAGTTATAATAAATAAACAAATGGATAGATAGATAGATGGATGGATGGATGGATGGATGGATGGATGGATGGATGGATGGATGGATGGATGGATGGATGGATGGATGGATGGATGGATGGATGGATGGATGGATGGATGGATGGATGGATGGATGGATGGATGGATGGATGGATGGATGGATGGATGGATGGATGGATGGATGGATGGATGGATGGATGGATGGATGGATAGACGGATGGATAGACGGATGGATAGACGGATGGATGGAAGGATAGATAGATAGACAGATAAACGAGTGTGCAAATTAATAGAAAGATGGATGGTCAATGACCAGCATCTTACACTGACAGTACACACACGACTTTGCTGGGCATTGTGTGCGTGTGTTGTGTGTGTGTGTGTGTGTATGTGTGTGTGTGTGTGTGGGTGTGGGTGTGTATGTGAGCGTGCAAGTTATTGCGTTAATGTTCTGGCGTTGTTTATTTTTTATATTGTTCGTCTACATTATTTCTTCTTCAACAAATTTTGGATACAATCAAGTTTGATTTAAACGACAATTTAAAAAAATTAATCAATTTAAAAACAAATGAACAAAATTTCAAATCAAGTAATAAATACAAAAACAAACAAAAACAAACAAACAAAAACAGGAAAAAAAATTAAAACAGCTTACGACAGTGCGATGCGGTTTTTAATTTTGCCCCGCGGTAATAAAAAAATCCATTTGAGTAAAAAATAAATAGACGCCGGATTAAAAGGGTTTAAATATATTTAAGACAAGCTACTGATGGGTTCTGTGCACCTGGGCTTGTCCGCATGTGTATATGCGTGTTTATGTGCGTGTGTATATGAGTTTGTGCGTGTGTGTATATATATACGTATGTGTGTATGTATGTGTGTGTGTATGTGCTATTTTGCGTGTTTGTTTTGGCCACTACTACAATTACCACTACTACAATTACCACTACTACAATTACTACTTTACTATTGTTACTATTTCAAAAGGTTTTAAAAATCACTCAAAGTACTATTCAACCTCTGCGATTAGCACTACAATTTTTCACCGTCAAGTTGAAAGAGTTGTTGAAAATACTAACTGCTGGAGATACTCGTGCCTACAATTGCTACCTTCGATATAGCCTTCTTAAGAATGAGGACATTACAACAGCCACACGACCCAACTATAACATTACACTTCCTGCTCAAGCCGACGATATTTAAAAGTAATAGCAGATAAAAATAAATTAAATTACCAGCTGAAAACAAAGACCACTGTCCACATTGTAGCGATGTTTGAATTGGGAAAAAAACACACAGACAAAAATCATTTTGAAGCAACAGAATGAACGATAGCATCCACAACGACATCAACAAAAACAAAAACATCAACAACAACATCAACAACAACAAAAACATCATCAACAACAACAACAAAAACTACTTCTACTATTACTACTACTAATACTACTACTAATACTACTACTAATACTAATACTACTACCACAACAACAACTACTACTACTAATACTAATACTAATTCTACTACTACTAAAACTACTGCAAACACAACAACAACAACAACAACAACAACATACAAAACAACGACATCAGCAACATCAACGTTAAATAGTAGCGATAATAAAAAAAAAGAATCGGAAGCCATAAGGAAGTATGTGGATATTCCAGATAACAAATATATTGTACCATCTGTTATGTGGATGTGCGTGCATGTATGTGTACGTGCGTGTGTTTGTGTGTGTGTGTGAATGCGTGCGTGTGTAAATATGTATGCATGTTACTTATAAGTAAGCATACCTTTGTATATCATTTGTACACATTTTAAACTCGTAGGGTAATAAAATAATGCCACAATTTTTGAGACTAAACCACAAATTGGCGTATATTTCTAATTTCAAATATCGCATCACTTTTCTCAAACAAATGTAAGCTGAGATGACCTCCGTATTTGAACCAGGTCATCAGCGGAACAAATTGTAAGGAAAGGAAGCATGACACGACAGGCACTTTTACCATCTGAGCTATCAGATTGACCGATCTGCTGCATGTATGTATGTATGTTGCTTCCAGATTTAATTTGCTAACAAAACAGTTTCTTTCTATATAGCATACAAACAATCATAACCACATAAAAACATAATCACACACAAACACACACAAACATAGACAGATATACACACATAAACAGACACATATAAAAGTTTATAATAACCGATTAATTTGTATTTTTAGATTTTTCAAAGTGTGTTTTTTTCATTCAAATTCACTTTTTCCAGTTGCAAGGAATGTTTTCCAGTAACATACACGGTGCATTATTGTATGTGACATGACATGGAGAAGACATAAACGTTCGCTTGAGTCTAATTTAATGCCACCTAATGTTAATCCTTGAGGAAGAAAAAAAACAGAAAAAAAAAATTCAATTTAATTAGAAAATTTAACTGTTTTATAAATTAAAATCTAACAAAACTAAATAAAATTAAAAAAAATTTCTATAGATTTTACCAGGAATTAACTTATATCAAATGTGTGTTTGTGTCTGTGTAAGTGCGTGTGTATGTGTACGTGTGCGTGTGTATGTACGTGTGTGTATGAGTGTGCGTGTGTGTGTGTCTAAAAGATAAAAATTGTTATCGGAAAAACGAAGGAATGTATCTAGGTTGGAAGCGAATGCAGTTTGTGTGTTGTGTGTATAGATTTTTTGGCATTGATGATGATACACTTGAAATTTCAAAGATGCTATGTTAAGTGCGCTGTGCTAGCAATGATGATGATGATGACAATGACGATGATGATGATTATCATGATGACAAGGACGATGATGATAATGATGACGGTGATGAGGATGATGAGGATGATAAGGAACAACACACCTCAAAACATCACACCACAAAAATTCATTTCGTTTTCATCATCTAAAAATATTTTCATCAACAAAAATTTTTTTTTTTTGACATCAGTAGCAGCAGCAACAAAAACAACAACAAACCACACCAGCAACATTCCACCCACTACACCACATCAACCGCACTACAGCAACCACACCACACCATCCACACCAACGACAAAAATTCCCGACAGCGACGACAATTAACAACCCATCATAAGTTAGGCTGCCGACACTCATTCTATAAACAAAAATCTTCTCTCTGCCATTAAGGCAAGGCATAATTTTACCGCGCTTATCTCAGGAGCAGACGTCACTTAGACAACGACCTTTTATTCTACGGTGCTTCATGGAAATACCTGTGTATATATGTAAATACCTCTCTCTCTCTCTCTCTCTCTCTCTCTCTCTCTCTCTCTCTCTCTCTCTCTTGTTTTCTCTCTTTTTCTCTCTTCACTTTCTATCTTTCTCTCTCTCCCTTTCTCTCTCTCTCTTTTTCTCTTTTTCTATGCATGTCGATCAATTTATTGCTGAACCAAACCATATATATATATGTATAAAGTTTATGTGTGTGTATAAGTATACATTTATATATATATATATATATATATATATATATATATATATATATATTGATAATAAGCATTTCCGTATTGATTTAAGCGAGTATGTATACATTATATGTATACTTATATGTACGTCGAAGTAATTTATATGGAAGTATGTGGGAAAGTGTTTAATTTGTGGTACACTTATTTATACCTATAGCAACTCATAAATATGTATGAAGGTGTGTGTGCTGTAAGCGTGTTCGTTCATAAATACGTGTGGAAGTGAGTATTTATGTGTTTGCGGTGACGGAGAAAGTGTATATCGACTTGCACGCACATGTGTTGGATATTCTTGGTCGGTCGGGAGAATATTATTTATTTTGTCGTCGTTGCGTTTTTGTGGCTGTCGTTGTGTTGTTGTTGTTGTTTGTGGTTGGTGTGGTGTGGTTGTTGTATGAAATTTGGCTGTTGTTTGTGGTTGTTGTTGTGTTGTTTAAAGTTGTGTTGATGTTTGTGGTTGTTGTGTTGTTGTTGTTGTTTAAAGTTATGTTGTTGTTTGTTGTTGTTGTTTGTTGTTGTTGAAGTTGGGTTGTTGATGGATTTAAGTTGTTGTTGTTGTTGTTTTGGTTCTTTTTTAATTAAAAAATAATAATTCATTAATTGCTTCAACTTGGACCAGGAAGCCAACAAATTATAGAACAATTTCAATAGGGCCAAAATGAATGAATGAATAAATAATTAAATGAATAAAAACTTATTGAAAAAACAAATACATAACAACACATACAAAAACAAACAACAAAAACAACAAAAAATAAAAAAAATCAGTTCCAAATAACAGTGTCAACATGTCAGCAGGAAAAAATTAAACAAAAAAGCAAGCAAAACGCCTTGAATAATATCAGACAAGTTACTACAAAAATCTAAATAATACTAGAAATAATAAAAACAATAATAGAAAAACTAAGAATAATAGTTAAATCACACACAAAAAATAAGAATAATAATAAAATGTATTATAATGATGCGACCGGCACATAAAAGTTTCAAAATGTTGCTTTAATTAATGATGGATCGATATACACGAAGTTTCCTCTCAAGCTGTTTTTCTTTTTGTTTGTTTTCTTTTGTTTGTTTTTCTGATTGTTTTTTGTTTGCTTGTTTGTTTGTTTGTTTTACATTTTTATTGTTGTAAGTTCTGCGTTTGTATTTTGTCGACTATGATTATGAAGATGATGACGATGAAGATGAAAATGTTGTCGATGTTGACGAAAAGAGAATGATAATGAAACTGATGATGAAGAGGATGAGGAAGAAGAAGAAAAAGAAGAAGAAAGAGAAGATGATGATGATGAAAAAACTCTGTTGACATGTACCGCTGGATGTAAAAGAAGAACCAAACAGGTTGAACCAGAATGCATCCATCATAACTTCAAACTCGTTCGTATCAACGAACTCTCCAAGTAACAATAGAAATAAAAACACCATTCGGAAATGAACGGAAGTTTGAATGTACGAAAAATATGAATAAAAGAGTGTATGAATGAATGAATGAATTAGTGAATGAATGAATGAATTAGTGAATGAATGAATGTATGAATGAATGAATGAATGTATGAATGAATGAATGAATGAATGAATGAATGAATAATTAATTATTTAATTAATTAATTAATTAGTTATCATCATCATCATTATCATCGTCATCATCATCATTGCCATAATCGTCATCATTATCGTCATCCTCATCGTCGTCATCATCATCGTCATCATCATCGTTTATAAACAGAATCATTCGATGGAAGATGATTGAAGAGATGGAAAATAGGCAGTCAAACATTCCAAAACAATAAACAAACGTCAACATAATAATAATAATAATAATAGTAATAATAATAATAATAATATTGGCGACAGCGTATACAACAAACAGTATATAATATACATTACATACATATGAAACAAGCTTTTTTAGCGATGTAAACAAGACAGATGAAAACATTACACACACACATACACACACAAACACACGCATACACACACAAACATACAAACATATACACACACACACTGAATTCTATGAAGTTACTGTATATTTATTTATTTAGCAATGAAAAAATTAATTATTAGAAAGAATTCACATCTATATTTCTTCAGACGCAAATACAAACAAATCAATTAATTTCAAATAAATAAACAAAGAATCACTTATATAGAAAAGTTTAAAATTGTATGTTTGTACACATATCCATACGCACACATACACACACACGCACGCACGCACACATACGCACACACATACAAGATAAAAAGTATATATATATATATATATATATATATATATATATATATATATATATATATACAGGTGAAGGTATGTAAAAATATGAACAATGTTGTTTATACATAACGTCTCAGCATGTCAAAATTCGACAAATCTTCAAATAGCATTATGATGTTTCATTAATCAATTCATATGTTCTGGTTTTCATGATATCTTTATTCTTTCGTGTTTGGTTTCGTTTTTCTTATAAATTTTTAGAATTAATAGTCAGATACTGGAAAAAATTAAAATATTAACGGAAAAATTTCAATCAACCTACCAACCAACCAACCAACCAACCAGCCAACCAACCAACCAACCAGCCAACCAACTAACCAATTAAACGAACAATCAACAGACCAATCAGCTAGCATAAAATCAATCATTCATTTGTTTATCAACTCCTTCGATCGATCATTTGCAACGTCATCCCATGAAGCATAGGATTAATAAATCAAACAAAAAGATCATTCAAGAATCATTCATTCATCTAGCTGTCTATCTATCCACTCATCATTTTACTCATTCATTTATTTGTTCATTCTTCCATTTGTTTACCAATCCATCCATTTATCCATTCAAAGAAAAAGAGAGAGAGAGAAAGAGAAAAAGAGAGAGAATGAGAGAGAGAAAGAGAGAGAGAGAATGGAAAAAAGATAAATAGACGGAGAAAGAGAGATGACAAATAAAAATGAAACATGAAGAAACATGAAGAAATGAAGAAGTTGAACGCTAAATTCATATCAAAATAATTTTGAAGCACTCCTGAGAAAATGCAATTAAAAAAACACACACGCACCAATTTTCACCCACACACACAAAACTGCACATGCATTCATACACACAGACACACACATATGTTTAGACATACAACACATCTTGAAAAATCAAATAAAACTGACATATCTACCAAAAAACCGGTACATACACACAAGTTCATACACACACATACAAATAAACACACACACACTCAAACAAACATAGACAAACACACACACACACATATTAAGGGCTACGTAGTTTAAAACATCAATGTATGTATGAGAAGTTATTGTTTTCGGATGTGAGCTTTTTTATGTTGTTTGTTTCTTTTTGTTTGTGCTAGGTGTTGCTTGTTGTGTTGTTTGTTTGTCTTTAGTTGAGTAGTTGTGTAGTTTTTGTGTTTTTTGTTGTTTGCTGAAGCATTTCCTTGGACCTGCTAACTTGTGAATTATATTGTCACAGTAAAAATCAGCCAGCCGATGATAATGACAAAGATGATTACGCTGTTGTTAACAGTGATCATG